TCCTTCCTTCCTTCCTTCCTTCCTTCCTTCCTTCCTTCCTTCCTTCCTTCCTATGCTATAACAGACTTATATACCACTTCACAATGCTTTCACAGCCCTCTCTAAGCAGTTTACAGAGTCAGCCTTTTGCCCCCAACAATCTGAGTCCTCATTTTACCCACCTCAGAAGGATGGAAGGCTGAGTCAACCTTGAGCCAGTCAGGATTGAACTCCTGGCAGTGGGCAGAGTGAGCAATACTGCATTCTAATCACTGCATCACCATAACCCTTCCCTCCCTCCCTTCCTCCTTCCTTCTTTCCTCCCTCCCTCATGCTCTCCTTCATCTCTCTCAGTACTTCCTCCTCCCTCCCTCCCCACTTAGCACTTAGACTCATATCCCACTTCACGGTGCTCTACACCCCTCTCTTAAGTGGTTTACACAGTCAGCCTCTTGCCTCAAACAATCCGACTCCTCATTTGACCCACCTCGGAAAATTGGAAGGCTGAGTCAACCTTGAGCCTGTTGAGATTCGAACTGCCAAACTGCAGGCAGAACGGCAGTCAGCAGAAGTAGCCTGCAATACCGCACTCTCACCACTGCGCCACTGCGGCTAAATGCAGGCCATTTGCCAAACACCCCAAATTCAGGAGTGGGGGCTGTTGAAACCTCAAATCTGGGCCATAAGTAACCCCAGGAGGTCTGTCGTAAGTTCGAAGAATCACTACTTCGTCATAGGCGAAGGACCACCTCCAGAGGTGGGTTCCTACCAATTTCGCACCTATTCGGTAGAACCGGTTCGTCAAATCTACCGAAGAGGTTCCACCAGTTGACCCGGAAAGCAGGCCACACCTACAGAAGAGGATCCAAAATTTTTTGAAACCCACCACCTCTAAAGAGATGGTAGCTCAACAACCCCAAGGCCTGAGCTTAGAACACGGGTGGCTCAGTTGACGCCCGCTCACCTTAGCTCCTTCCCAAAGAGGAGAAGGTCCGAGGCATTGTCCACCGCCCGGGATGCTATCCGCTCGGTCCGGTCCTTGAGTTTGTAGAAGCTGTTGTAGATGTTTCTGATCAGTTCTCGGCTGGCCGCAAACTGGATTTGGATGTCAGTTGGCAGATATTCCTGAAAGAGGGGTAGGGAAGTTCAAGAGATCCGTATCCGAACTTACAACCTAAATGCTGGAGATGTGATTGTGCTGATGCTACTTACTTTCCCTTCCCACAACCTGTTGTACTATTTCCCACTTACTTTCCCTTCCCACTCTCTCGGCCTTCCGGAAAGCCACTAAAACCTGGCTGTTCCGGCAGGCCTGGGGCTGTTGACCCCAAAATACGGTCCAGCCCCATNATCTATCATCTATCTATCTATCTATATCTTCCTCTCTATCATCTGTCTATCTATGTCTGTCTATCTATCTATCATCTCTATTTGTATTTTTATCTATCTGTCTGTCTTATCATCTGTCTTATCATCCCTCTCTCTCTCCATCCATCTTTCATCCTTTTCATTCCTCGACTTTCCTCTTTCGGACCCTCCAGCCCCCAGCCGTGTCCCAGCGTTTCTCTCTCCCCCCCACCAAACGGGTCGGTGGGCCGCCGGACTCACTTTATAAGACTGCAGCAAGTCCAGGAAAAGGTTGAGCTTCTCCACCACGTCGTTCTCTTCCTGTTTCCCCTGGACAGCAGAACGAAGGAGAACCCTGTGAAGGGGGGGGGAGGGCAGCTGTTCCCCCCCACACACACCCACCTGCCCACCCGAGGGCAGGAAGTCGGTGGCAAGTGGCCCCTCGGAGGCTGGGAAGGAGGGTCCTGCATGGGAATCTTCCATGGGGAGAGAGGGCGGGGGGCGATGTAGAGCAATTCAAGCGGAAAGAGGCGGTGGGTGGGTGCGCAGGTATTCTGTGTATGGGCATGTGTGTGCGCGCACAAATCCATACACACACACGCACATACATACATACACACGCCCAGGTGGTCAGCTGGCGGCCACAGCTGGCCCTGGATACGTCCGTCACTAAGCGGTGCAGGCGTTGAACGGAGACCTCCCCGACCGAAAATTAAAATAAAAAAAATTGGGACGTTTTGTTTCCACACAGGACTTTCTCTGAATGGATTCCGATGGAGTTTCCGTACCTTTATCATCCGTTCACTGACAGGAGCCCCCACCCCCACCCCCACCCCAGGGGTAGATCAGAGGCTTACGGCTTCTCCTCGCTTGGAGACTGAAACCGGGACGGGTTTCTCAGTCGTTAAGCGAATGCCGTTCAGCGAAGTGCTTACGGTCTTCCTTCCAGCACATCCTTAACCATTTTACGGATCGGCGAAGAGGAGGGGTGGGGGTTATCCCCAGGGCGGAATGGTCACTAAGCAAGGCGGTCCGTAAATGAGGACAGCCCCCCCCCTGGTGCTTCCTTGCAATCTTCACTGACAGGTCGATGAATCTCAGAGGGGGGGAGGAGGGCGCCCGGACTCATCGTCCTGGGCAACCAACCCCCCCCCCCCGCTCTCTCTCTCCCGCAAACCTTTCCCACCCCGGGCTCACCTGCTGAACGGCTTTGTCGGCTAACATGGCAAATTCCACGGAAAGGCCTTTCAGGGCCTGCTCCAGGTTTCCCCAGGCGCTGTGGTTCAGAGCCGCCCAGGAAGGCAGCGGGGTTGTGTCCGAGCCCAAAGCACTGGCGGAAGAAGGAGGGGGAGGTGTCTGTGAAGACCCTGCAGAGCCTTTGCACCAGCCACCCCCATTGGCACCCAGCATCCAGCCCTCTCTAAGCGGTTTATAGAGCCAGCCTCTCGCCCCCCCAACAATCTGGGTCCTCGTTTTACCCACCTCGGAAGGAAGGAAGGCTGAGACAACCTTGAGCTGGTCAGGATCGAACTCCTGGCAGTGGGCAGAGTTTGCCTGCAACGCTGCATTGTAACAACTGCACCACTCTGCCGGCTGGCCTGCCTTCCTTCCTTCCGAGGTGGGTAAAACGAGGACCCAGATTGTTGGGGGGGCGAGAGG